GGGTCTTGATCATTGTCTTCGGACAGCGAAACAAGACCGTGAAAGATCACGACAGTTGAAACATCCCGAGATCAGGACCTGGTATCCCAGTTGATGCCATCCTTGTGCACACAACCCCAGATATAGTGATTCTAACACCATTATACAACTACAGTACAACTTATTTTGATGTTGATCCCTGGAAAAATGGGATTCCAAGTAAGTTGGTTTCCGGGAAACCCACATGCGGCCCTTTTGGACACTCTTCGGCGCACCTTGTGATCAAAAGGGGTGAAACCACAAACTGCGGACGGACATCAACAAAGCCATCAACACATCCACCCAAGAATTGCTCTGCTCTGGTAAATGATGATCATATCATCATATCTCCATGTTCATCTGTGAGCATTTCCATACCAGGACACTCAGTTTGTAACCATGGAAATGGCATTCCGTCCCGCCAAACTAACACACATCTTGAGGATCAACTCATGGTAGGGTCCAGCTGTTTGTTGAGGGCATGGTATCTCATTTCATCTCTTGACATGTCTTTACTGAGTAGCCATTGACATGTGTGTGTGTGTCAATGGGACACAGCCCCAAAATATCAAATTTTTATCGAGATGATGATAAACCAGCCAAAAATCGAGGTACCCAATTTCCAGACACATTCACATCTTTATTATACATCTCTACAAGGTGGTGCCCCCCAAGTTATGAGTTGGTTTATAAGCCTATTAACTATAGATATGTCACCTATATAAACCATAGTCAACTATATGCCAACTATAGCCAGCTATAGGTTTAAACCTAACTGCCATGGACCGGAGTTATGTTCACCAATTATCACCAACATAGATCTACATTTTTCTGTCCCAGTCGTCCGTCACAGGACTTCGCGCACAGGACTTCTGGAGCTCTGCGGTGTCACCCATGTCAACATCCTGGCGATGGGGAGATGGCGTGGTGCATGGCGTGGCGCATTCAGGTGAAAAGCGGAAACGAAAAATGGGAATGGTGTGTCTGAACACTGCATTTACATGGATAAAAACTATGATTCAATGGGAATGTGAGTTTAGAAATCATGGGAATTCCTCATGAAGTCAGAATTTGAACTCATGATGTGGATGTGTTTAATCATGAGTTTAAGCAAGAAAAATGCTGATTCAATGGGGTATCAGCACCATCCATATATTACATTAATATCTCTCATCGGGATACCATGGGAATATATGACTCATGGGGATCTGGGCCCGGCCGACAACCGTGGGAGTTCGCAGGTTGTGCCGACTGTCCATGGGAGGATCATCCCGATCGAGGTTGTGGAAAAGCATCAACCATACTTATTTACTGAATACAGTTTAATCCATTACTATTTCTAGATGGGACAACCTAGACGGACTTCCTGACCAGAGTTATTAACCATTTACGATTCGTGGGATCCTCTAAGTGGCTTTTTTTTCATAGGTTTTCCACATTCATGTTTGCTGGAGGCTAGATCTAAAAACAGCGTAACTGGTTGCAGAACCGGCGGTTGACCTTCAAGTTATTCCGGGCAATCATCATTCTCTGGAAGTGGGTGCTTCGTGAACATCATCCTTAGATGAGCCATGGAGTTATATAATTGGTTAGCCCCTTCTACATGGGTTGTAATTTGTCATTCACCCACAAAAACAAACGGTCAACTAACATCTATATATATATATCATATGCCATCATATTGTTGGTATTTGTTGGTTATATAAGTTCTATATATGTTATAATGGAGTTATAGACTCATACAGTATATATTCGCATGAAATATCCCAGCAGCGTGTTTCTCCCACATCTATTTTAAGATCAGGCTGCGGAAGTCATCCTCTACAAATACCGAAGCTGATCCTGAACAACTGAGCAATCACCAGCATCTCCATAGCCCCAGGCAACCACCGATCCATCTGCCAATATCGCTGCAAATGCGCCACCATCGTCACTGTCACTGATGGCAGCACGTGTGGCCTGAATTTGCTGAACATTCTTGAGCCGATCTTGAACTGCAGAGCAGTCACCACCATGGTATGGATCACCCCAGGCAACCACCGATCCATCTGCCAAAATTGCGGCACATGCAGCACGTGTGGCCTGAATTTGCTGAACATTCTTGAGCCGATCTTGAACTGCAGAGCAGTCACCACCATGGTATGGATCACCCCAGGCAACCACCGATCCATCTGCCAAAATTGCGGCAAATGCAGCATGTGTGGCCTGAATTTGCTGAACATTCTTGAGCCGATCTTGAACTGCAGAGCAGTCACCACCATGGTATGGATCACCCCAGGTAACGACGGATCCATTGGCCAAGATCGCAGCAAATGCCGAAACCGTGGCTTGAATTTGTTGCGCATTCTTGAGCTGATCCTGAACTGCAGAGCAGTCACCACCATGGAATGGATAACCCCAGGTAACGACGGATCCATTGGCCAAGATCGCAGCAAATGCCCAAGTCGTGGCTTGAATTTGTTGCACATTCTTGAGCTGATCCTGAACTGCAGAGCAGTCACCACCAGAGCGCCGATCACCCCAGGTAACGACGGATCCATTGGCCAAGATCGCAGCAAATGCCCAATCAGTGGCTTGAATTTGTTGCACATTCTTGAGCTGATCCTGAACTGCAGAGCAGTCACCACCATGGTCTGGATCACCCCAGGTAACGACGGATCCATTGGCCAAGATCGCAGCAAATGCCGAAACCGTGGCTTGAATTTGTTGCGCATTCTTGAGCTGATCCTGAACTGCAGAGCAGTCACCACCATGGTATGGATCACCTCAGGTAACGATGGATCCATTGGCCAAGATCGCAGCAAATGCCAAATCCGTGGCTTGAATTTGTTGCACATTCTTGAGCTGATATTGAACTGCAGAGCAGTCACCACCACAGCGTGGATCACCCCAGGAAACGACCGATCCATTGGCCAAGATTGCAGCAAATGCCCAATCCATGGCTTGAATTTGTTGCACATTCTTGAGCTGATCCTGAACTGCAGCGCAGTCACCACCACGGTGTGGACCACCCCAGGTCACCACTTTGTTACCTCCACAGCACCACAGAGCAAAAGCGTCAGTTGTTGCACTTAAGCTTGCTCGCTCTGCCACTGCAGTTATGTGCTCTCCGTCTTGGACCCCTGCAGCTTGCAAAGAATCCTCAGGGTTGGTCAGAACATGCCCCTCGAAAGTGACGAGTTTGAGGAAACCCTTTCTGAAAGTTTTCTGGGACAGAAGTCTCAAGTCCCCCACTTTGGAGTGTTCAGGAAGTTGCAGAGTTTCTCCAGAACCACTCGGGAACGAGACGTTTATTCGAAGCATTGGAAGATAAAATAAAAAGTTCACTCAATCTACTGTCAAGAACTATAGTCTGTGAAAAGTCTCGAGCCGTTTTGCCACAGTTTGACCCACAAATACGTGAGTTGGCTGGCGAGATGCACCCCAAAAACAAAAGAATGGGAGTACAAATATCCCCCAGCAGCTGTTTGAACAAGAGGAATTGCATGAAATCAGTTGTTTATCTATATACTTATGCATGTATGTATGTATGTAGGTGTATGTATGTATGTATGTATGTTATGTTATGTTATGTTATGTATGTATGTATGTATGTATATATATATATATACATTTACATATACGACAAATGCCTGGGATTTGCCCCGAACCGCAACGACAACGGGCAACGACCAAGTTATAAGCCACCCTGTACCACTGACTTCGATGAAATCTGAACTCAGCACGGCTACGAACAAAAAACGTAGCTGCCTCGAGGGGGTCGCGGCCGCGCACGTCATCCTTCAAGCATTCCAGGAAATCTTCCTAGGGGCTATAGATTTCACTCAAACATTGGGGGACTTTGATGGTTATCAGAGCTGGATGGATTGGTGTAAGGGAAAATTGAACAGGAAACCATTGATTTTCCCATGAAGATCATGGAGCCTTCCTGCAAAATTTCCCTTAAACCAATCCATTGATTATCATAGCCGGATGGATTGGGATTCAGCTACCCCACAAAAAGAGGTGTGATTCATGGTGAATGGGATGTAAGGGCAACGTTGATATAGTGAGATTTAAGCAACAAAACTGGTGATAAGTCTTAACACCCAAAAATGGTTTGAGAAGGTTTTTATGGTGATTTAGCCAAAAGAACTTGAGAATTTAGGTCTAAAACTTGTTATTTCATGCGACTTAAGCAACAAGCATATGGTTGTGGTGATTTAATGGGAATTGTCCATAAATCCGTGGTATCAAAACAATCTCCATCTTTTCAACGTTTCGATTTTCCCGTCACACTTTTCAACTATTTTTCAAGGATGACATGGGATGAAGAAAAAACATCCATTCTACTATAATATATGATAAAACCATTGACAATGATATAAGATGATATATGGATATATAATGATATATATGTATATGGCTTTACTTGATTTTGGGAAGCCCGATTTTTCCAAAGACACCCGAATTGGCGGTGAACGAACTAGTGCAACAGAAATATCCAATCCTCTCATAACAACAAGAATCAGCAGCGCCTCATTCGTGACGAAGGGAGGGACAAAAATATGCGAATTTCTGGGATTTACTGATGGTTAATGGTAGTTTAATGGGATTTAATGATGATTTATACTGTTTGGTGGTTGAGCCCTACCCCCTCTGAAAAATCATGGAGTTCGTCAGTTGGGATGATGACATTCCCAATTAACATGGGGAAAAAAAGTTCCGAACCACCTACCAGTAATAGACATATCAATTTTTGATCAAATATTTATCAGCATATCTATCATTGAACCCATCATATCCACAAAATGCTTGATACCCCAACTTCGTCCACTCTTCCAACTGACCTCCCATGAAGACTATCCTCCCTCAAATTATCATGTCTTGATTTGGAGATGGGTCAAAACCTAGTTTGGATACTTTTGGGGGATGAACATCCATAAATCCCAGCTGTTTTAGGCTTCACCGTAAGGGTTTTGACCAGCCAAACACGTGATGGCCTCATCGACCTCGCCGCTTCGCAAGAGCTTCATCAAATCCTGCGAGAAAATTTTGAAGGTTTGAAATGGGGGATAGCACCTAAAATGTGAGATTTCAACCGGACTTAGGTTAACTGGTTCTGGTGACTTAGTTGGACTTTCGCCGAGGAAACTGCTGATTTATGATGATTTTTGCCTTCAACCAGCAAATATCGGGGTTTCAACGGAAAACGACTGGTAGATGTGGTTTACTGGGTCAATTGTTCTAATTCACAAACCCAAAAAGCTGGGCAATTCTTGGATAGTTACGAGTATCTCTACAATGCCCATCATTTCTAGCCATGTCGAAATTGTTGTAATTTATCCACCTGGATCAATTTCTGGGAACATTTTGGGACCTCGTCTTCTTGATGGATATTGGAGAGTTTCTAATGGGGAAACCAATGATTTGGGTGACCCCACTGTTGAGAAACAGCTCATATGGGAACTTTTCAGTTCGATGGAAAGGTAAGAAAGTGCCGGGACGTGCTATGCATACTTGTTGTTTTAGCTGGATATTCTTTCTCGCTATGGATAGTTTTTGACATTAACTCATTGTCACCAAAGTTCCCTACCCTTCGTTGTGGTTCACCCTAATTTCAAGAGCTACCCCATCTGGACCAATATCGTTGATGAGTGAAACCTCCATTTTTGGTGGTAGAATTCTCCCAACCCTACCCCACCATTCATCGAGCTTCCCCTCCTGTCGCCCCTCAAACGGCATGGCGCACCGGACGCGATCCACACCTTTGTTGTGACCTATTGGACCCGCGCAGGAAAACTTGGGTTTTTGACTGTCCATGGTTTGATTGTGGCTTCATCAACTCCCATGGCTGTTATCCTCTTCTGGCAACTCTGACATATCTGACATTCCAGCTTGATGCACACATGCCTCTGGCGGGTGAGGATGTGGACATGCTTGAAGCACCGCTTCAACATCTTTGCTACCCATGGAGGCCTTTTTCTGAACCAATTCAGCGAAGTGCAATCCAAACGGGTCCCAAACACGTGGCGTGAGAAATGCTGCCGGTTTGAAATTCTGTGAACTTTCAGAAGAACGTCCAAACCCTGCTTGGGGGTGCAGTTGTATGTGGCTATATTTATTTATGTATATAATATATACATAAACAATCATATATATATATATATATATCATATATATGTATATTTATCATATAAATATATATTAAATAAACATAAATATTAATATATATATATATAAGTATCTGATTGTAGAGGTTATACATATCCGAACTTATGGAGGTTCAAATCCGATGGTTATACCAATTTTTCCAGCTGAACTGCACCCCCAAGTGCAGAATCAGTTTTCGATTCACCAAAAATAATCCAAGACCGCCCAGTTGTTCCTACCACTGGTCTGTTTCAACTCACCCAAACCTTTCCCTATGTGGCTTGGAGGTTCATCACCATTATCAAAAACTATACCCCTGTGGCCATTCCCACCATTTATAGGCGGGTTTTCTAAGTCGATCATGGTGACGGCTGATCCGCATGACTCGAGCTCCACCCATGGTAATTTCCGGATCTCCACGGCTGATCACCTTTTTTTGGGCCTCAAGATAGTGACAGTCCCCTCGAATATATGAGGATAGTAAATGCCTATGAAATCACTATGAAATCCAAATGCCGCATTGAAATTCCCAGAAAAATCTCCAATTCCTATGAAATCTCTAAGAATGACCCGATTGTATAAATCCCACTAAATCAATCATCAATCGACATGGGTCTTGATCGTCTTCATTTGGACACCGAAACAAAACCGAGAAAGATCACGACAGTTGAATTGAAACATCCCAAGACAACCTGGTATCCCAATTGATGCCATCCTTGTCCACACAACCCCAGATATAGTGATTCTAACACCATTATAACTACAACTTATTTTGATGTTGATCTCTGGAAAAATGGGATTCCAAGTAAGTTGGTTTCCGGGAAACCCACATGCAGCCCTTTTGCACACTCTTCGGCGCACCTTGTGATCAAAAGGGGTGAAACCACAAACCGCGGACGGACACAAAGCCATCAACAAATCCACCCAAGAATTGCTCTGCTCTGGTAAATGATGATCATATCATCATATCTCCATGTTCATCTGTGAGCATTTCCATACCAGGACACTCAGTTTGTAACCATGAAAATGGCATACCGTCCCGCCAAGCTAACACACATCTTGAGGATCAACTCATGGTAGGGTCCAGCTGTTAGTTGAGGGCATGGCATCTCCATTTCATCTCTTGACATGTCTTTACTGAGTAGCCATTCACATGGGTGTGTCAATGGGGCACAGCCCCAAAATATCAAATTTTTATCGAGATGATGGTAATCCAGCCAAAAATTGATGTACCCAATTTCCAGACACATTCACATCTATACATCTCTACAAGGGGGTGCCCCCCAAGTTATAAGTTGGTTTATAAGCCTATTAACTATAGATATGTCACCTATATAAACCATAGTCAACTATATGCCAACTATAGCCAGCTATAGGTTTAAACCTAACTGCCATAGACCGGAGTTATGTTCAACAATTATCACCAACTTAGATCTACATTTTTCTGTCCCAGTCGTCCGTCACAGGACTTCGCGCACAGGACTTCTGGAGCTCTGCGGTGTCACCCGTGTCAACATCCTGGCGATTGGGAGATGGCGTGGTGCATGGCGTGGCGCATTCAGCTGAAAAGCGGAAACGAAAAATGGGAATGGTGTGCCTGAACACTGCATTTACATGGATAAAAACTTTGATTCAATGGGAATGTGAATTTAGAAATCATGGGAATTTCTCATGTCAGAATTTGAACTCATGATGTGGATGTGTTTGATCATGAGTTTAACCAAGAAAAATGCTGATTCGATGGGATATCAGCATCATATACTACACTAATATCCTCATCGGGATATCATGGGAATATATGACTCATGGGGATCTGGGCCTGGCCGACAACCGTGGGAGTTCGCAGGTAGCGCCGACTGTCCATGGGAGGGTCATCCCGATCCAGGTTGTAGAGCAGTATCAACCATACTTATCTGAAAAATAAGAGTCAGTTGGGATTATTATTCCCAACTGAATGGAAAAATCCAAACCAACAACCAGTTATAGTTTAATCCATTTATACTATTTCAAGATGGGACAACAATTGACGGACTTCCTGACCAGAGTTATTAACCACTTACGATCCGTGGGATGATCCAAGTGGCTTTTCCATGGCTTTTCCACATCTACAAACACGGTAACTGGTTGCAGAACCCGCGGTTGACCTTCAAGTTATTCCGGGCAATCATCATTCCCTGGAAGTGGGTACTTCGGGAACATCATCCTTAGATGAGCCATGGAGTTATATAACTGGTTAGCCCCTTATACATGGGTTGTAGTGGGTCATTCTTCCACAAAAAAAACCAGTCAACTAACATCTATATGATATCCTATCATATTGTTTGTAGTTGTTGGCTACATAAGTTCTATATCCATTAAATTGTTGGCGTTATAGACTCATATGTATTCCATTGAAATATCCCAGCAGCGTGTTTCTCCCACATCTATTTTAAGCTCAGGCTGCGGAAATCATCTTCTACAAATACCGAAGCTGATCCTGAACTGCAGAGCAGTCACCACCAGAGCGTGGATCACCCCAGGTAACGACGGATCCATCGGCCAAGATCGCAGCAAATGCCCGATCAGTGGCTTGAATTTGTTGCACGTTCTTGAGCTGATCCTGAACTGCAGAGCAGTCACCACCAAAGCGTGGATCACCCCAGGTAACGACGGATCCATTGGCCAAGATCGCAGCAAATGCCCGATCAGTGGCTTGAATTTGTTGCACGTTCTTGAGCTGATCCTGAACTGCAGAGCAGTCACCACCGTGGTCTGGATCACCCCAGGAAACGACGGATCCATTGGCCAAGATCACAGCAAATGCCCAAGCCGTGGCTTGAATTTGTTGCACATTCTTGAGCTGATCCTGAACTGCAGAGCAGTCACCACCGCGGTGTGGATCACCCCAGGTAACGACGGATCCATTGGCCAAGATCGCAGCAAATGCCCAATTCGTGGCTTGAATTTGTTGCACATTCTTGAGCTGATCCTGAACTGCAGAGCAGTCACCACCGCAGTGCGGATCAGCCCAGGTAACGATGGATCCATTGGCCAAGATCGCAGCAAATGCCCGATCAGTGGCTTGAATTTGTTGCACATTCTTGAGCTGATCCTGAACTGCAGAGCAGTCACCACCATGGTGTGGATCACCCCAGGTAACGACGGATCCATTGGCCAAGATCGCAGCAAATGCCCAAGCCGTGGCTTGAATTTGTTGCACATTCTTGAGCTGATCCTGAACTGCAGAGCAGTCACCACCAAAGCGTGGATCACCCCAGGTAACGACGGATCCATTGGCCAAGATCGCAGCAAATGCCCGATCAGTGGCTTGAATTTGTTGCACATTCTTGAGCTGATCCTGAACTGCAGAGCAGTCGCCACCATGGTCTGGATCACCCCAGGTAACGACGGATCCATTGGCCAAGATGGCAGCAAATGCCAAAATCGTGGCTTGAATTTGTTGCACGTTCTTGAGCTGATCCTGAACTGCAGAGCAGTCACCACCTGCGTGTGGTTTACCCCAGGTCACTACTCTGTTACTTCCACTGCACCACAGAGCAAAAGCGTGAGTTGTTGCACGTAAGCTTGCTCGCTGTGCCACTGCAGTTATGTGCTCTCCGTCTTGCACCCCTGCAGCTTGCAAAGAGTCCTCAGGGTTGGTCAGAACATGCCCCTCGAAAGTGACGAGTTTGAGGAAACCCTTTCCGAAAGTTTTCTGGGACAGAAGTCTCAAGTCCCCCACTTTGGAGTGTTCAGGAAGTTGCAGAGTTTCTCCAGAACCACTCGGGAACGACACATTTACTTGAAGCATTGGAAGAGATATTCAAAATCACAAGAATTCCAAACTCGCTTGAACCCCAGGTGCCAGCAAGAAGTTGCACATGACCCGGTGAATTCATGGCTGCCATGGTTTTTGGGCTTCGTGCCTGGGTTTGGTTAAATATCCATGATGTTATCCACTATCCGCAAATCTCATGTGAAAAAATAGCTGGATAGTGAACTCCTCGATAGAAAAAGCTGAAACGAAATACATCAAAAAGCAACCGCTCACCCATGGGTCCACTGCATGGACATTCATATGAGAACAGCAGCTACGACAACCGGACGAAAGTCATGAAATCAGTTGTTTATCTATATAATTATGCATGTATATATATATAGATATACACATATGCAGTTGTTATATATATCATATCTATAGATCTATATGATATCATTATACACCAGTATAAATGCTATATCAGTAAATTATAACTAATTATTATATCATTATATCATGTCAAACACACCTCTTTTGAGACCCTTTTCTAAGTCCGGGAAATTCGCCCCGGCCCAGCCTCCCCCATTGGTGTGATAGATGTGTGTGACATCCTGAGGGAATGGTGGGCCATGGCTGGTTAGTTGAGTGAGTGGTTCGTAAAACTCCGACCAAAACGGCGGTGCATTTCATAGGGAATCCACAAAATCACAACTGCAAACCTGTTGATATCCTATTGATAAGACCTTGGGTGCAACATGAGTGAACTAACCAGCTATGGGTTCCCATAAGCCATTATAATGGTTTGATCTTTTTCCCATTCAAACAAACAACATTTTCCCATCTTGTCATATGGAAAAACCCGTGATTTTCCCATGAACAAGATGGAAGCCACGAACCCGAATGTATTCACGTTCTTGGGCTATGAGTGCAAACCTCTGCAATAGGAAAACGAACCTTTTTTTCCACGCATCGTGCGCTCATATCGTCTCAGCGAGGCGAAGACACCTGAGCAACAATTCACACAGAGACAGCTAACCAGCACAACAACATCACCACCAGCACAACGAAATCACAACGGAATCACCAGCGCAACGAAATCACCAGCGCAACGAAATCACCAGCACACTGCA